TTTGGGGTCCCTGAGGTGTTTTGTGGTGCCCTAGAGCAGTTTTGAGTACCTGAGGCATTTTGGGGGTCCTGAGGCGTTTTTGGGGTCCCCTGCGGTGTTTTTGGGGTCCCTGGAGCAGTTTGGGGTCCTTAAGGCGTTTTTGGGGTGCTCCTGGAGCAGTTTTGGGGTCCCCTGAGCAGTTTTGGGATCCCTGAGGTGTTTTTGGGGTCCCTGAGGCAGTTTTGGGGTCCCTGAGGTGCTTTGGGGTCCCCAAGGCCAGTTTGGGGTGCCTCGGGCAGTTTTGGGGTCCCTGCGCAGTTTTAGGGTGCCCTGAGGCAGTTTGGGGTCCCTGAAGTGTTTTTGGGGTGCTCCTAGAGCAGCCTTTTTTGGGGTCTCCTGAGGCAGTTTTTGGGGTCTCTGAGGTGCTTTGGGGTCCCACAGGAGGGGTGGAGCTCTTGGACATCACGACCATCCGGGACACCCGTGCGGGACGCTTCGCCGCGCCCCAAGGTGGGGACCCCAAAATTGGGGAGACCCCAAAATCGGGGGACCCAAAATCGGGGGACCCCAAAATCAGGGAGTGGGGGCTGGGGGACCCCAAAAACAATGGGGAGCTGGGGACCCCAAAATCAGGGGGTGGGGCTGGGGACCCCGAAACAATGAGGAGGGCTGGGGACCCTGAAACAACAGGGAGGGCTGGGGACCCCAAAATCGGGGACTGGGGGTTGGGGGACCCCAAAACAATGGGAGGGTTGGGGACCCCAAAACAATGGGGAGGGGCTGGGGACCCCAAAATTGGGGGCTGGGGACCCCAAAATTAGAGGAGGGGCTGGGGACCCAAAATCAGGGGGTGGGGGGGCTGGGGACCCCAAAATCGAGGGGCTTGGGGGGGCTGGGGACCCCAAAAACAATGGGGAGGGCGGGCAGGACCCCAAAATCCCGAGGGCTGGGGGGCTGGGGGACCCCAAAAACAATGGGAAGGGTTGGGGACCCCAAAACAACTGGGGACACCCCAAAACCGGGGGCTGGAGGAGGGATGGGTTCCAGGACCCCCCAGACCTGGGGGTTTTGGGGTCCCTGGGGGGTATTTTGAGGTACAGTTTGGGGAGTCTCTGGGTACATTTTTGGGGTCTCTGGTTACATTTTGGGGTCTCTGCTCTGTTTTGGGGTGCAGGACCCCCGGGCCGGTGAAGCCCTGGGTTTTGGGGTCCTAGGGGTCCCTGGGGGGGTATTTTGGGGTACATTTTGGGGTCTCTGAGCACGTTTTGGGGTCTCTGGGTACATTTTGGGGTGCAGGACCCCCGCAGCCGTGAGGCCCTGGGTTTGGGGTCCTAGGGTCCCTGGGGTGTGTTTTTGGGGTCTCTGGTTACAATTTTGGGTCTGTGCTGTGTTGTGGGGTTCAGGACCCCGGAGCCGTGAAGCCCTGGGTTTTGGGGTCCCTGGGGTCCCCCTCCCCAGCGCCTCCTGACCGTGGTGCACGGACCCGACATGGATCAACCTCACCTTCCTCAACTCGTGGCCGTCCAGGACGACGTGGCCAAGGTGGGGAGAGGAGGGCTCAGGGGGCTCTGGGGGTCTGGGGGCTCTGGGGGGTCTGGGGAGCTCTGGGTGCCCGTTTTGGGGTCCCAGGGAGTTTGGGGGTCCCGGGGTGTCCCTGGGAGGAGTTTGGGAGTCCTTGGGTGGGGTTGGGGGTCCTTGGGAGGGCTTTGGGGGTCCCTGGGTGGGTTTTGGGGAGTCCCTGGGTGGGTTTAGGGGTCCCTGGGTGGGTTTGGGGGTCCCAGAGTGGGTTTTGGGGGTCCCTGGGAGGGTTTTGGGGGTCCCTGGGTGGGTTTGGGGGTCCTGGGTGGGTTTTGGGGGTCCCTGGGAGGGTTTGGGGGTCCTTGGGTGGGGTTTGGGGTTCCCTGGGTGGGTTTGGGGGTCCCTGGGAGGGTTTGGGGTTCCCTGGGAGGTTTTGGGGTCCCTGGGAGGGTTTGGGGGTCCCTGGATGGGTTTGGGGGTCCCTGGGGGGGTTTGGGGGTCCCTAGATCCCATTTTGGGAGTCCTTGAGGGTTTTAGGGGGTCCCCAGGATGGGTTTTGGGGGTCCCTGGGTGGGTTTGGGAGTCCTTGGGTGGGTTTGGGGTCCCTGGGTGGGTTTTGGGGGTCCCTGGGTGTGTTTGGGGGTCCCTGGGTGGGTTTGGGGGTCCCTGGGCAGGTTTGGGGGTCCCTGGGAGGGTTTGGGGGGTCCTGGATGGGTTTGGGGGTCCCTGGGTGGGTTTTGGGGTCCCTGGGAGGGTTTTGGGGTCCCTGGGAGGTTTTGGGGTTCTGACACCCCCTCCCTCAATTTTAGGGGTCCCCAGGTGTGGACGAGACGAGGCTGTTCCAGCTGGCCATGAACATCCTGGCCAGGAACAGCTCCAGGAACACCTACCTGAGGAAGGCGTGGTATCCCAAAACCCCCAAACCCATCACCCCAAAACCCCAAAACCCCCAAACACCCCACAAAACACCCAGAATCGATCCCTAGAACCCCAAAACACCCCAACACCCACCTGAGGAAGCGTGAGTACCCCAAAAACTACACCCCAAAACTGAGCCCCAAAACAGCCCCAAAACCACCCCAAAAACACCTCAAAATCATCCTGAACCCTAAAACCCCAACACCCACCTGAGGAAGGCGTAGGTACCCCAAAAACACCCCAAAACCACCCCAAACCCCCAAAACCAGCTCAAAATCATCCCTGAACCCCAAAACCCCAGCACCCACCTGAGGAAGGCGTGGGTACCCCAAAACACCCCAAAATGGCCCCAAAACCCCCCAAAACCACCCCAAAATCATCCCTGAACCCCAAAACCCCAACACCCACCCTAGGAAGGCGTGGGGACCCAAAACCCCAAAGACCCCAAAACCACCCCAAAGCCTTCCCTGGACCCCTCATTCCTCCCCTCTTCCCAAACCCCTCTGGGGCTCCTTCCCCAAATTTGGGTCCCCTCTACCTCAGTTTAGGGTCCCTCGATTTGGGGTCCCCCAGATTTGGGGTCCCCTCTCCCAGATTTGGGTCCCAATTTGGGGTCTCTGCCCCAGATTTGGGGTCCCCCAGATCCTTGGGGTCCCCTCAGATTTGGGGTCCCTCTGCCCCAGATTTGGGTTCCCCAATTTGGGGTCCCCAGGGTCCTGCCCCCAGGTACACGAAGCTGACCCTGCAGGTGAACCAGGAGGAAAGATCCCGGTTAAGAAGTGAGTGACCCCAAATTGGGCTAAACCCCCAAACAGGACCCCCAGAGTCAGGGACCCCCCAAAACCCCTCCCCACCTCCTCCCCAAATTTTGGGGTCCCCCCCTTCTCCCCCTCCCCTTTTTTCTGCTTTCCTGAAGTCCCCAAAGCCCCCTAGGCCCCCAAATTTTAGGGGACCCTTTTTGGGTTGCCCTGAATTTCTTGGGACCTCCCCCAAAAAATTCAGGGGTTCCCCCTCCACCCCCAAATTTTGGGGTCTCCTCTTTCCTCCTCCCTTTCTTTTCCCCTTCTTCCTGGTGACCCCAAACCCCCCTGAGTTCCCTCCTTTTGGGGACCCTTTTATTGGGGGTCCCTGAATTTCTGGGGCTCCCCGGAGGTTTGGGGTCCCCGACCCTCAGGGACCCCCCAAAATGTGGGGTGCCCCTGGCAGCATCCTCAAGATGTTCTCGGCCGACAAAGAAGAGGGTGGAGACGGCGCTGGAGTCGTGCGGGCTCAGCTGCACCAGGGTAGGGACCCCAAATCGGGGACCCCAAAATCACTGACCCCAAAATCACTGACCCCCCAAAAATCACTGACTCCCAAAAACCAGGAACACCCCAAAATCGGGCTCAGCTGCACCAGGGTGAGGCCCCCAAAATCACGGACCCCCCAAAATCAGTGGACCCCAAAATCGGGCTCAGCTGCACCAGGTAGGGACCCCCCAAGTTGGGACCCCCAAAATTGGGCTCAGCTGCACCAGGGTAGGGACCCCAAAAATCACTGACCCCCCAAAATCACTGACCCCCAAAATCGGGCTCAGCTGCACCCGGGTAGGGACCCCCAAAATGGGGACCCCCAAAATCGGGCTCAGCTGCACCAGGTAGGGACCCCAAAAATCGGGGACCCCCAAAAACAAACAGGGACCCCCAAAATCACTGACCCCCAAAATCGGGCTCAGCTGCACCGGGTAGGGACCCCAAAACGGGACACACTAGGGACCCCAAAATCACTGACCCCCAAACAAACAGGGACTTCAAAATCAGTGGACACCCCAAAATCGGGCTCAGCTGCACCCGGGTAGGGACCCCAAAACAGGGACCCCCAAAAATGGGGACACCCAAAATCACTGACCCCCAAAATCGGGCTCAGCTGCACCGGGTAGGGACCCCAAAATCACTGGACCCCCAAAACAAACAGGACCCCCAAAATCACTGGACCCCCAAAATCGGGCTCAGCTGCACAGGGTAAGGGACCCCAAATGGGGACCCTCCCAAAATCGGGCTCAGCTGCACCAGGGTAGGGACCCCAAAATTGGGGACCCCTCCCCAAAATCGGGCTCAGCTGCACCAGGGTAGGGACCTCCCAAAATCAGGGACCCCCAAAATCAGGCTCAGCTGCACCAGGGTAGGGACCCCAAAAACAGGGACACCCTAAAAATAGGACCCCCAAAATCACTGACCCCCAAAAACAAACAGGACCCCCAAAAATCAGGGACACCCCAAAATCGGGCTCAGCTGCACTCGGTAGGACCCCAGAAACAGGGACCCCAAAATCAGAGACCCCCAAAACAAACAGGACCCCCCAAAATCACTGACCTCCCAAAATCGGGCTCAGCTGCACTCGGGTAGGGACCCCAAAATCGGGACCCCCATTTTTAGAGCTTCCCCCATTTTTAGGGTTTCCTCCATTATTTGGGGTTCTCCTCCATTATTTGGGGTTCCTCCATTATTTGGGGTTCCCCATTATTTGAGGCTTCCCCCATTTTTAGGGTTCTCCTCCATTGTTTGGGATTTTCATCCCATTTTTAGGGTTCCCCCATTTTTAAGGTTCTCCTCCATTATTTGGGGTTCTTCTCCATTATTTGGGGTTCCTCATTTTCAGGGCTCTCCTCCATTATTTGGGATTTTCACCCCATTTTTAAGGTCCCCCCCATTTTTTAGGGTTCTCCCCCATTATTTGGGGTTCTCCCCCATTTTTTAGGGTTCTCCTCCATTATTTGGGGTTTCCCCATTTTTAGGGTTCTCCTCCATTATTTGGGGTTCTCCCCATTTTTGGGGTTCCTCCATTTTTAGGGCCCGTTCTTTGGGGGAAGGTTTTTCCTCCCCTCATTTCTGGATCTTCTCCCCCTCCCCCTCCCTGTTTCCCCCTGATTTTTGGGGGGTGTTCCTGAGTAGTTTGGGGGCCCCTTTGGGGTGTTTCTGAGCAGTTTGGGGGCTCCTTTGGGGTGTTCTTGAGCAGTTTGGGGGCTCCTTTGGGGTGTTCTTGAGCAGTTTGGGGGTTCCTTTGGGGTGTTCTTGAGCAGTTTGGGGGCTCCTTTGGGGTGTTCTTGAGCAGTTTAAGGGCTCCTTTGGGGTGTTCCTGAGCAGTTTGGGGGCTCCTTTGGGGTGTTCTTGAGCAGTTTGGGGGTTCCTTTGGGGTGTTCCTGAGCAGTTTAGGGGGCTCCAGGAGGTGTTCCTGAAGCAGTTTGGGGGTTCCAGGGGGTCTCTGGGGGTGCTGAGGACCCTCCCCAATGTTTGGGGTCCTGCAGGGCGAGGCCATTCCCCCCGAAATGTTCCCATTGGAGACGTTCCGGCGCTTCCTGAGCAAGCTCTGCCTGCGGCCCGACCTGGACAAGATCCTGCTGGAGATGTGAGACCCCAAAAACGGCCTTTGGGGGCCTGGGGGTTGGGGTCACCCCAGGGGGTTTGGGGTCACCCTGGGGAGTTTGGGGTCACCCTGGGGGCTAGGATGCCCAGGGGTTTGGGGTCACCCCAGGGGGGTTTGGGGTCACCCTGAGGGGGTTTGGGGTAACCCCGAGGGGATTTGGGGTCACCCTGAGGGGGTTTGGGGTAACCCCGAGGGGATTTGGGGTCACCCTGGGGGGGTTTGGGGTCACCCCGGGGGGGTTGGGGTCACCCTGGGGGGATTTGGGGTAACCCCAGGGGGGTTTGGGGTGCCCAGACCCCCCAGTTGAGGCTCTGGGGAAGCCCCACGGGGTCAGGGTCCCCCCTGGGTGAGTTTTGGGGTTTCCATTGGGATATTTTGGTTTCTGTGGGATATTTTGGGGTTCCCCCGTGTTTTTTGGGGTGCCCTGACCCCGTTTTCCCAGGGGGCTGGCAGGGAAGCCCCACGGGGTCAGGAGCACACCTGGGTGTGGTTTTGGGTTCCACTGGGATATTTTTTGGGTTCTGTTGGATATTTTTGGGTTCCTTTGGGATATTTTGGGGTTCCCCCATGTTTTTTGGGGTTCCTGACCCCATTTCCCCAGGGGGCTGGCAGGGAAGCCCTACCTGAGCCGGGAGCAGCTCCGGGACTTCATCAACACCCGGCAGAGGGACCCGCGGCTCAACGAGGTTCTGTTCCCACCCCTGAGCCCCGAGCAGGCCCAGACCCTGATCGAGCGCTACGAGCCCAACCCCTGCTTCAGGGACAGGGGTAAGGATGGCATGGGGACAGCAGGGACAGGGACAGCAGGGACAGGGATGGGGACAGGGACAGACCCTGATCGAGCGCTACGAGCCCAACCCCTCCTTCAGGGACAGGGGTAAGGATGGGACAGGGGGGGACAGGGACAGGGACAGGGACAGGGATGGGGACAGGGGGACAGCAGGGACAGGGGTAAGGATGGGATGGGGACAGGGGATGGGGACAGGGACAGGGGGACAGCAGGGACAGGGACAGGGATGGGGACAGGGGGACAGCAGGGACAGGGGTAAGGATGGGATGGGGACAGGGGATGGGGACAGGGACAGGGGGACAGCAGGGACAGGGACAGGGATGGGGACAGGGACAGGGGGACAGCAGGCCCAGACCCTGATCGAGCGCTACGAGCCCAACCCTTCCTTCAGGGACAGGGGTAAGGATGGGACAGGGACAGGGACAGGGATGGGGACAGCAGGGACAGGGATGGGGACAGGGACAGGGACAGGGACAGGGACAGGGATGGGGACAGGGACAGGGACAGACCCTGATCGAGCGCTACGAGCCCAACCCCTCCTTCAGGGACAGGGGTAAGGATGGGATGGGGACAGGGATGGGATGGGGACAGGGACAGGGACAGACCCTGATCGAGCACTACGAGCCCAACCCCTCCTTCAGGGACAGGGGTAAGGACAGGGGGGGACAGGGACAGGGGTAAGGATGGGACAGGGACAGGGGGACAGCAGGGACAGGCCCTGATCGAACCCAACCCCTCCTTCAGGGACAGGGGTAAGGACAGGGGGGGACAGTGGGGGACAGGGACAGGGGGACAGCAGGGACAGACCCTGATCGAGCGCTATGAGCCCAACCCCTCCTTCAGGGACAGGGGTAAGGATGGGACAGGGGTATGGATGGCATGGGGACAGGGATGGGGACAGCAGGGACAGGGATGGGGACAGGGACAGGGACAGGGACAGGGGTAAGGATGGGATGGGGACAGGGGGACAGCAGGGACAGGGAGGGGGACAGCAGGGACAGGGACAGACCCTGATCGAGCGCTACGAGCCCAACCCCTCCTTCAGGGACAGGGGTAAGGATGGGATGGGACAGGGGTATGGATGGGACAGGGACAGGGGTATGGATGGGACAGGGACAGGGGTATGGATGGCATGGGGACAGGGACAGGGACAGACCCTGATCGAGCGCTACGAGCCCAACCCCTCCTTCAGGGACAGGGGTAAGGACAGGGGGGGACAGGGTATGGATGGCATGGGGACAGCAGGGACAGGGACAGGGACAGGGACAGGGATGGGGACAGGGACAGGGACAGGGATGGGGACAGGGACAGGGACAGGGACAA